CAAAAGTAGCTAGTTAATTTTTAATTCTTAGTTATTTTCCTGGTCTATTTCCTTCAGTTCCTGTCTTCCATTGATTTTTCAAGAGTTTTGAGGCCATTTCTTGAATTTTAGGATTTTTTGAAAATTTGTCAAAATTCAATACTGGGTTATTGTCATGTTCATATTCCTTCAGTTCCTGTCTTTCCTTGGTGGAGGAAAAAGGAGGAAATCATCAATGATCAAAAACAAAGCAGTTCAAGGAGAGTGTGAGGACAACGACAAAAGCCATCATCTGACCATTCAGGACGCCTAATTATTATCACTGGCGCAGTGGTGTGGTGGCTGAGGCCTCAGCAAGTCTAAGGGGAGTGACGTCTAAGAAAACGACGCAGTGGAATAATTTTACTTTACTGTAGGAGCATTTTGGCGCGTGCGTCAGTGCACCCATTCAGAGCCAAACGTTGGGCTCAGATGGTGGACCATGAGGGAGGTCGCGCAGATTGATTTAAACAAAACAAATATTCTCATAGATTTTGTTTCAAACAAACACAGCGACAGAGCTGATCCACCAATTTTGGAGCCGAACGTTCGGCTCTGAATTAGTGTGGACACGCAATCGCAGACTTGCACATTCCCTTACACAGGAACGTTGCGATACCCCAGCACTTGGCCCAAGCACTTAGTTGGATTGCATTGTATCATCTATTGTCATTACACTTCCACTTGCCTGTCATGGGAGGTCGCAAGGGTGTTGCCAAGTCAAAGGCGGCTCCGAAAGTGAAGAGCTTGCCGGATGCGCCAATGGCGAGCACAGATTGCATCAACGCTGAAGTGATGGCTCGGCTGGCTGTGCATGATGCGCACATCAAAGATGCCTTTGACGACCTCCTCACCACATCTCCAACCAATGAGTCAGGCTTCCCAGCTTACAAGGAAATCGATGCGGTGGCTGCGCTGACCGCTCACCGTCCATATGTGTGCGCGTGTCCTCTCTACTGGCTGAATTTGGCCTTTGAATTCCAGCCGAACCTTCCGAAGTATCAAAAGCGGCTGGACAACTTAGAGGCGCACTTCTTTGAGGAGCCGAAGAACTTGACAGAACCCATTGTGGTTTACCTCAATCCTGGCGAGCTCCCGCACAAGATGGTCGGATCATTGCGCGCCTTTGATGCATCAGAGATGAGAGATGCACTGCGCCAAGCGGTGAGTCACGCCATCTCCAACAAGAAGTCCAAGAAGATTCTCAATCAATGACATGGCATTCTTCTCAGTACTCCATTCCGTTTTGAGGCGTGCAGCGTTGACACGATTGAACACAAACAACTGTTTGAAACAATTGTTTTTTATCATCCTTTCTGCGAAACGGGTATGCAAAAGCCGGTGATGGAAGAAAAGAACCGCTTGCAGACAGCGTTCAAGACAATTGTTCAGCAGCGAGAAGACTTGGTGGTCAAAAAAGAAAACATGGCTGTTCCTTGTCATCGTTTATTGGCGCTGAGATGGCGCCGGGATGGTGCCGAGATGGTGCTGGGACAGTGCCGGGATGGCACCTGGGACGGTGGCGCCTGGCCGGAAAAAATGTAAATCAGTTTTTGCTTAGCCGAGGTGACGTCTTTGATGCGCATTTACGAGATCATGGATTTTAAGAAGCAGCTCGAGTTGACCACAGATGTGAAGCAGAACAAGACATCCTTGCACGCTCATTACAAAGGAGTCAAGATGGCCCAGAGCTCGGAGGAGGTTTCCATCGCCTTCATTGAGGTGGCGAACATGCTGTACCACAACATGCTCAACAGCCCAAGGATTCAGCAACTATGCTTTCAGCTAGATCAGAACGCAGTGAACCCGTTGGACTCAATCCACAAATTGCGTGAGATCGCTGTACAATGCGAGAAAAAAGAGCCGCTCATGTACTGGACACTGAGCATGATCAGTGACTGGTGGTGCCAGACTGATGGTACAGACCCAGTGCCCATCCGTTCCCTGAGAGAAACCAGCAGTATGGAGTCAGTGAGTTTGATCAGGATGATGCTGTTCAAAAGACAGATGAAAGAGAAGATGTTGCGAATGATGGACACTGACTTCCCATTGTGGGATGCGGCTGTGAAGAGCGACATCCGGGCAGCTGTCGAAACTGTGCAGTCTTGCCGCAGCAAGCTGGGTGTCTACGATGCAAACCAGGAAAGTGGCGATGCTGGCAAAGTTCCCGAGCCATTGACTGAGCGTGGGTCGTGGCCTGAATCAGCAGATCGATTCCTGCTTGCTTTTGAAGCGCTCATCTATGGATATTCCCTGGATGAAATCATCACCTCTCAGATGAAACAGCGTCGTAGCGTTGAGGATGTCCTGGACCAGAAAGCGATCAAGCCACTTCGTCGGCAATTGAAATATCCAGCAATTTGATAATTTTTGATAAGTTAGGCAGCTATTTCTTTTGATGACATTGATTGGCATTCAGGCCATTCATTGAAAAGCCAAAGCAACTCTATGAGAAAGAGACGAAGCCCCCAGGAGAGGTTGAGGAAGAGGCGGCGAAGGGGGATGACGCTGAAAACCCCGAGGTGGTTGCTGAGGAGCTTGCGGTGACCACAAACCAATCTCAGGCCGAGTCGCTCTTGAAGCAGATTTCGGGTGGAGGGATGGATGCTTCTGAGGAGCTTGTCACCACCCTCAAAGCCGGCCTTCGAGTGGCAGAGCGCCGAGTGTCTAGCCACATCACCCTGGTTGTTGATTGGAACACTGATGACAAAGATGATTTGGAATCTCAGATCAAAGCCCTGAATGCTGTAAAGGTGCGGGGCGACGAAGAGGAGGCCAAATCCTATGTTGCCATTGTGTTCGACAGCAAGACCGTTTGCGAGAGTGGCAGTCAGGCCAAGTACAGATTGCCACCGACGCGAGCTGGCCAGATTCAGAGGTTGCTGAATGCAGTGCTATCCACCCGTGCTGATGGGGACTTGGCTGAGGGTGATGTGTTGATCGCCATAGACGGAGGGCGTGAACAAGACTGGGCAGCAAAAAACATCATCAAATTCCTGCCATCGAAGAAGTACGAGACTTGCAAACACACCATTTGTTACACCTTTGACTCTGTGGAGAAGAGAATGGAGCGTGCCAGCAAGAGCCCATTGTCTTTGTTTGAGAGTGCATGGTTCATCAGCCACAATGAACTTAGCATCAAGGTGCAGCCGCGACTAGTCACGTCGGGCAATACGCGTGGCAATGTCCTTGGGCCTTTCACCAAGCCTTCATGGGTAGATGGCACAGAGACATGGCTCCTTCCAGCCACAGTGAAGAGGGCTGTTTTTGGCAAGGACAACCTGCCATTGCCTGGAGGGGCGTGCCCGGTGGAACACGAGAAGGAGGCGGCGCCCAAGAGCGCAGAACTTGTCCCGGTGTTCTTTCACGATTCACCACAAAGCGTCTCTGCAGAGCTTCTTCACTATGTCCAAGGTCGGGCAGTGATCGATATGACGCCTGGCACGGGGCATTGGGCTTTGCAGTGCATCAGAAAGCGTGTGCCTTACTGTGGCTTTTGCTTGTCAGAGAAGCATCGCGAGCTCCTTCAGAAGAAGTTGATCTCACGAACATTGGCAGCAATGAGTGATCCCGCTGATGAGACGCTCTACGACGCGGGTTTTGCCAAGGCTGTCAAGGACCTGACGGAGCAGAACAAGAAACCCGGAGATGAAGACATGGAGGCTGAGGGCAAAAAGAATCGCAAGAACAAGGACAAGAACGCTCAAGGAGGTGGCCCAGAAAAGAAGGCGAAGACTGAACCAAAGCCGCCGGCTGAGCCCAAAGGCGGCCCAAAGCCTAAGCCTACTCCCAAGCCTATGCCTGCAGCCGGCGGCGACGATGATGCTGCTCGTGAGGCCTTGTTGAAGAGGATCTCGGAGGCTGCCAGCGCCGCTTCTTCGGGTGAGGCTCCCGTTGAGGAGTGACAATCTGTGCGCCCTGAGAGGCCTGACGCCTGAACGATTTCAATTTTCAGGATCTCGTTGAGCC